TTCTTCAAGCCTACGATGAGGGCAGAGTCACAGCTCAGGCTGGCGGCAGCCCCTGCCCTGAGCACTGCAGCCCTTCAGCTTTGGTCACCACTGGCAGGTCTGAGAGTGCAGCAGACAAAAGTCGCCTTTTAGTGGGCTGACCTCGCTGGAAGGCCTTCTAGCCAGAGTCTTGCTGATCTTGGAAGGTCAGCTGTATGGGAGCGTGGCCAAATGTCTCAGTCTGGGAGCCCGTCCAGAACCTGCAACATGGTCCATGGTGAGAGCCAGCGGCTCTGTCTCTGACAGGAGGCCCTTCTGTGTAAGCCACCCTAGTAGGTGATGCTTATGAATGCCACTGTGTCTTACAAATCCATATGTTGAAGTTCTAACTCCTAATCCCTCAGAATTTGACTGTTTAAAAATTTGTGCTGTACAGTTATTCTACAATATTAGTTTCAGATGTATAACATTGTTGTTGCCCAGTCGCTAAGTCAAGCCTGATTCTCTGCGACCTCACAGACTTCAGCACTCCAGGCTTTCCTGTCCTTCACTATTGCCTGAAGTTTGCTCAGATTCGTGTCCATCGAGTTGGTGATGCTATCTAACCATCTCATCCTCTGCCTCCTCCATTTCCTTTTGTGTTCAGTCTTTTCCAGCATCAGGGTCTTTTTCAATGAGTTGGCTGTTCACATCAGGTGACCAAAGTGTTGGAGTTCCAGCTAAGTGATTCAATTTTTGTAATGATATTCTATTCAAACTTACTACAAAATACTGGCTATATTTTCCTGTGTTGTATATCCTTGTTGGTTTTAAATTTTATACATAGTAGTCTGTATCTCTTAATTCTATACCCTTATCTTACCCCAACCCCTTCCTTCTCCCCACTGGTAACCACGAGCTTGTTCTCTGGGTCTGTTTTTTTGTTATAGACATTTGTTCATAGATTCCACATACAAGTGATAAAGAGTATTTGTCTTTCTCTGAGTGATTTCACTAAGCCTAATACTTCTTAGGTCCATCAACACTGTTGCAAATGGCAAAATTTCATTTTTTATGGCTAGTATTCTACTGTGCATATATATACACACACCACTCCTTTATCCGTTCATCTGTTGATGAGCACTTAGGATGCTCCCATCAACATGTTACTTGCAGACCCTTTATTTATTTTTGGCCGTGTGAGTCTGCATTGATGCACATGGGCTTTGCTCCAGTTGCAGTGAGCAGGGCCTACGACTTTTCCCTGTAGTCCGTGGGCTTTCACCACAGTAGCTTCTCTTGCTAGGAAGCATGGGCTCTACGTATGAAGGCTCAGCAGCTGTGGTGCAGGCACTCAGCTGCTGCACATGTGGAATCTTCCCAAACCAGGGATCAAACCCATGTCCCCTGCACTGGCAGGCAGGTCCTTAACCACTGGGCCACCAGGGAAGTCCTGTCGACTTTTTGATGATAGCCATTTTGACAGGTATGACGTGATCTCATTGTGATTTTGATTTCTTTGATGATTAGTGACATTGAGCAGAATTTGACTGTTTTTGGAGAATTGGTCTTTGAACAGGTAATTAACATTAACTGAGGTCTCAGGGTGGGGCGCTAATCCAAAATAACTGCAGATTCAGAACAACGTGGTTTTAATTTAATCCACCTCTGCTTGCAAAGTCAAGGTATTATTCTAACGGGTCAAACTGTTAGTCAGTCAGTCATGTCCGACTCTTTGTGACACCATGGACTATAGCCCGCCATGCTCCTCTGTCCATGGAGTTTTCCAGGCAAGGCTACTGGAGTGGGTTGCCATTCCCTTCTCCAGGGGATCTTCCCAACCCAGAGATTGAACCTGGGTCTCCTGCATTGCAGACAGATTCTTAGCCACCAGGTAAGCCCAGTCATTCCTTAATCCATACAACTATGAGAATCAAAGGAAATAATGCATTTATATCTGTCACTGTTTCTATATACCTTCTCACCTCCAGCAAAAGTAAAATAAAAAAAGCCTTCCTTAAAGCAGCAACAACAGTCCCCTTATCTCTTTCTCTGCTACTCAGAATACAACCCTGGCGGTGTCGTCTCCTCACCAGGCGGTCTCTGCCTCAGGGGTCCCCAACCAAGTATCGAGGCTCTCCTGGGAGGTGCCTGGGAACCCACAGGGACATTTCTGGCTGTCACCGTGACTGGGGGGAGTGCTACCACATTTCGTGGGGAGAAGTGACCCAGATGTGTTTGTTTTATGTCCACCAACGCTCAGGACAGTTCTACTAAGGGAGGAACCGTCCTGTCCCTGGGTCTCTAGGCAAAAAACAAAGGCTCACTGTCATTTGGTTTCCAGTTCGGGTCTGTGGGTTGTCCACCAGTTTTTTAAGGACACTCAAGGACTTTCAGTGTGAAAATCCACACTCAGCCAACAAAAAGGAGAGCTTCAAAGGCCTGTTCTCCACAGTCTACACTCCATAACTTGCCCATCATCCCCCTTAATACCATTTTGTTTACAGCCCACTACCCAACTATGATGGGACCACATCCCCTCCTTGTCATAGCAATCATGTAAACAAGACTGATTTTTAATCTCTCAGAGTAAAAGCTGGGCAGCTGCCTAAGGGAGCCATGGCCCATTAAAGGAGCCCCTCAGAGTGGCAAAGACTGGTTCAAACCCTCTGCGTAGTTAAGCGTACCACCTGCCCATGCCTGGTGCTGTAGGATATGGTATCTCTGAGGTCGTCTCAGACAATGGCTGCTATTAATTCCGTGGGAGAGTGTCCAGAGGCACTTGGGAGGCTGCTTGCTTATGGACATACTTTATACCCCCTCTTCCTTAGAGCTGCATGACCTTTCTCAACAGAGTAAAACAGGGCACAGGGACCACACGTGTCAGAGTTCAGAAATGGCTCACAGCATCTAACTGGTGGAATGTCTACGCAAGTGCAATCACTGTCTAGGTCCAACTGTGTAATTCTGGACTCTTTAGGTGATCTTTCTGGGCCTCTGAAAAAAAGAGGTATGTGTGGTTATATGGTCTTAAGGAACACTCTAGCTCTGCATTTTATGATCTGGGGCTACGATACAGTTTTCATTAGCTATTTTGCTCAGGACATTAGCATCTCATGTTCTTTATATAGGATGGTGCCTCAACAGTCTGGCAGAAATGGTGTAGGAATGAAGGAATTGCAACAGCAAAGTTTTCACCTGTTCTGACATCAAAGAGAAAGCAGCAGGCAGGCCCAGCACTATTTGTACCTATTAATTTTATATTCAGCAGCTGGCTAAGAACAAATATACATCATTCAATATTTATATCAGAGTTCTAATCACAGTGCCCGTTCTGCACTTAAATGCACTGCACTAATTTTACAGGGAAACTGTGTGGTAGGGAGAATGCCAAAGGAGGTTAAAGTGAGACTGTTTTAAATATCACCCCTCTCTATTTTTAACGTCACTCTAAGTGTATTCCTGTAAGAGAAAGGCAATAGTTTCTTGCTTGCCCACTGAAAGCTGCAACCTAATTTAATTTTTGGAAAAAAGATAATCAAAATTAATCTCAGCTCCCTCACTTGGAAGTGCTACCACTGAATAAGTTTCAGCCATGTGCTAAAAGACAATACAATTCTAATGTCCCAGCAAACCCAACAGTAAGGTTCCCATTTTACTGAAATGAAAAAGAGCATCATAAAAATTCTGCTTTGTTCTCTATGACTGATAAGGAAGAGGCAGTCTACAAATACTTGTTTAATGCAAGATTCTTTTCAAAATGGAAAAAGGAATTTAGTATCTTAAGTGTGACTGCAACGCTGCTCACCCCACCCCCTTTTCATGTAGTGTCTGATAGCTGCAAGGGGCTACTAAGGTAATCACTCTGGCTGAGTACACACTCACCACAGATTTGCTTTCTCCAGGGGTAACTGAAAACCGATTCCACAAAACGTGGAATCATGGACCTTCTTATATTATCAGCCAAGAATGTCTAAAGCCAGACAAGTTAACTGACCTCTTAGCTGGTCAGGCCTGAAAGTGATGTTAACTTTGATCATTAATTTCCTTCTGTGGACTGTAATTCAACATTCTTTCCCCACCCAGGACCAACAGGAAGAAGGGCTTGAAGCCCCAGGGAAACTCCTTGCAAACCTCGGAACTAGGACCTTCCCTGGTCAAACCTCCCACAGCACAATGATCCCTTATACGGAGACCCCTGAGGACCAAGGGTACAAGGAAACTGATCTTCACCTTTCAAGGTTGCCCACAAAGCAGTTTGGGCTTCCTTGGTGGCTCAATGGTGTAAGAATTCTCTGCCAAGCAGGAGTCGGGGGTTTGATCCCTGGGTCGGGAAGATCCCCTGGAGAAGGAAATGGCAACCCACTCCAGTTTTCTTGCCTGGGAAATCCCACGGACAGAGGAGCCTGGTGGGCTGCGGTGGTCCATGGGGTCCCAAAGAGACCCACACGACTTAGCGACTAAACAACAAAGCAGTTTAAAGCCAGAGGCCTCCAAAGAGGGAGCGGCCCGGTACTCCTAAACTCCATCTCGGTGTTGTAAGAAACTCTCAAGAGTCGCCAAAGCAGAGAAGGCCTACGTTTAGAAGACAAACAAAAAGCCGGAAGCTTGCAAAAGAGCAAGCAGGCAGTTTTCCCACGTGGGCCGCGGGCAGAGGGCCAAGTGAGAGCGGAAGCGTTTAAATCGGGCCGGGCTCAGGGCTGGAGGAGACCCGCAGGGGTTGTAGGTGCCCACCCACGTGGCACACCCAGCACCAGCCTGACCCATCTGCCCAGAAAGGTACTTGCAGTACCTTCGCGGCCCCTCTCCGAAGGGCATGCCTTCGCCCTGCGTGAGCAGCTGAGACCTAAGGCAGGGCAATGGCAAACTCTGCAGCGGTTTCCGGTCCCTCGCTCGCCGCCCCGGGCTTAACAGCCGCAGACCCTCCCCGCCGCGGCGGGGGCGCACCAGCTAGGCGCTCGGCCCAGCGGCGCTGTCTCCCGGACGGGAGAGAGAGCGAACAGGTCAGGGAGGATCGCAGCGGCCAGGACGACCAATCTCACCTTCACGGCGGCGGGAGTGGCACATGAGGACATGTCGGGCGAGGAAGGAGCGGCGGCCACGCTCGGGATGGAGGCGGGGAACAGATGAGCTGCGCGGGTGCAGGCGCGCGGCGCGGGACTGAGCAGGGAGGTCCCGGGGTCGGCGGTGGCTCCGCCTCTTCCTCCCGGGGACAGCTGGATTGGCTGCTGGCGTGGGCTCTCCCCCGCCCCCCTCAACTCCAGATGCCCGCCTCCCCCCTCTTTTGCAGGCCTTTTCGGTTCTACGTTGATTTCCGCCCCCCCGCCCCCACCCCGAGTTGTAGCTAACGGGTTCACGATAGTGATAATAATGGGGACCGTTGATTGACAGCTTATGCTGTTCCAGACTTTGTGTTTTTGCATTTTCATCGGCTCGGTTAACTTTCGCAAGAACCCGACAAGGAAGAGCAGCGCTTCTGGCTCCGTCTCGTATCCGCGGCCAGCTCGGCCTCATCTGTAGAGCCAGGCCCATCTTGTTCCAGAAGTTCTCGGGGGGAGGGAGAATCGTGGCGATGAGGGGACGGGCTCTTCACTGAGGCTGCCTCCAGCTGTGAATGCGGGGCGGGGTGCGGTTGACTCGTCTCATCCCCGCGACGCAACCGGGGGTTTGCTCCTTTCTGTTAAGTCTTTGGAGACAGAGCAGGGGTGGGGTTGGCCTAAGACTCTGGGATGACAGAAAGAAAATCAACAGAGTAATGTGCTGCTGGATGATGATAACCTTTCTGACCTGCAGACTCTGGCTCTGGGGCAGGTTTTCCAGAGGATAAAACATCCCTTAACTTCCAGACTGGGTCCACAGGGCCAGGGCCAACTTCAACCCTAACCACTCCGATCAAAGTCCGATTCAACTACATTCGGAATCCGGATTTCTGTTTTCATCACTCAACACTAGTTGGGCACACCCCTCCCCCGCCGCTCCCCGACCCCGCCACGTTGCACCAGCCCTCCATTGGGATAATCCAACTTAAACTCCCTGGATGGATTGAATTTTCTTCAACAAGATGCAGGGTGACAGTGATGTTCTGATAGAAATGTTGCAAAGATTTTACTCTGGGGTGGGAGAATGCCTGTGGAGGGGTGAACTTCCTTTTTTCCCTACAGCAGTAAAACGCTGAAACCCCACACAAGTATAATTTCATTCAGACATCACTGGGTGCTTCCCATATCCTGTTTACTTAAAACAGTAAAAATTTTCACTCATTATTTGCTCAAGATTTAAATTTTCTTGCACTGTAAAGTTTTCTTCTGATTCTTTTAAATTACAAAATGAAATGGCCAAGTGGAAGACTGGAGTGCTCCTTTGAAAGGGCAGGAGGCTGGGAGTTCCTCCTGAATGTGGTTTCCTAGGAGCTTGTCTGCTGATTGTCCTGTTGATAGCCCACTATTCAGAGGGGAACCGGTGCAGGGACACAGACCTTGGGTTATATGGTGCTTCACAGTTAGGGGATCTTGACCAACTTAGGTGCTTTGATGTAAGAGAACTACCAGCAGAGTTTGAACCCTTATCAATAAGAAACAAAGCACAGTTACAGCCCTTAGGTAAGAGGTCTGCAAACCTTGTGTGTGAAGTTAAAAAACACAGACAATATCTAATTGAATGAGCCTGGCTGTATTCCAGTATAACCTTATGGACACTTAAATTTGAATTTCATATACTGTTCACCTGTGACAAAATATTCTTTAAGTATTTTCCCAATCACTTAAGATTGTAAAAATTATCCTTAGTTTGAAGCTATGCAAAAACAGATGGAAAACTGGTTCAGCTGTGGAGAGCTTGTCCTGTTGCTGATAGCCCCCTACTTATACGAGAAAAACATAGATAATATCGAATTGAATAAACTTCTCCCCTCCCAGAAGCAGATGACCTTTGGGCTGACTTGTCAGACAATGTTTTGATAGGCAGGCATATAATAGTATGATAGTAATCTTTTTGGCTTATTTCCAAGTTTGGATAATTTTTTTTCTTAACAAGCCCCAGAATCAAGGTAGGTCAAAATTTCTGATAGTCAGTGGTCTCTCCCTTTATGATTGGTATAGAGAATCTGGAACAAGATAAGGTGTCTATAACCTTATCTTGCCCTGCTGTTCTTGCCCTGTAAATTCCCTCTATTTATCTGTAACTTGTCTTTCTGAAGACAATTCTAAAAAAGAACCCAGGGCACCTTACAACATTTCTGATTAAGGTACCATATATATATTTCAGTGGTTTAGTTGCTAAGTAGTATCTGACTCTTTTGTGACCACATGGACTGTAGCCCACCAGGCTTCTCTGTCCAGAATTTCCCAGGCAAGATTACTGGAGAGTGTTGCCATTTCCTCCTCCAGGGGATTTTCCCTACTCAGTGATTGAATCTGAGTCTCCTGCATTGCAGGCAGATTCTTTTACTACTGAGCCACTAGGGAAGCCCCAGCAATCCCATATTTAATAAAAATGGAGTGTCCAGCAATAACATCTAATTTGTATCTTTGATTGAGAGAAGAATCACATGGTTTGAAATGAGATAAGAAGGGTCAGTTTTGACCAGCTATTTTGAACTTGATGTGCTCCAGATAGCTGGAGATTCCCCTATTTAATTGTCTTATTTCATCCAATCAATATCTACTTCTTTAGTTTTTTCCATTACTTATTTCTACCATGAGTTCATTTTGCCCTAAAATACCTAGAAATAGCTTCCATTCAATCATCTTGTCTCTTCTTCCATGTTCACTTCAAGTTGTGTCTGTCCTTTCATTTCTGGAGATCCCACCAAAGGTGAATTGTTATGGATTATTTGGATTTATTGAAGGAAAATCTTGACCACTCTCCCTAGAGCAATGCTGCACATAAGGAATGTATTCTGGTTAACAGAATGGCTATCCATCCTGGAATTCCAAAATCCTCACATCCTCTGAGGTAGTTATTGTTGTTTCTTTTGTAAGAAAAGGAATATCAAGATGAATTCCTAAAGCCTATTCACCTCCCCTGGTGAAGCAAAGAGTATTCAATCTTGTTATAAAGAGACAGGGAACAGACTTAGAGAATGAACTTATGGTTACCAGGGGGGAAGGGTGGGAGAGAGTGGGAGTTTGGGATTGACAAGTGCACTCTACTGTATTTAAAATAGATAACTAAAAAGGACCTACTTTAATTTTAGACAAGATAAAAGTGACATTACTTGAAAATGCTTGAAAATAAAAATATGTGCCATAGAGTATCTATGTAACTAAATTGTTCTCTGTATCTCCTTCTTATTGTGAAACATAGGCATCACGAATTCTAAAAAAAAAAAAGAAAAGAAAGAAAAGAGAAAGAGACACGGGCATTTCTGTGCTCTGGAAGAAAAAGGACCAGGATGTTTTAAGTGCTCAACTATATTTTAACATACAGTTGCAATGTAATATGCTCTGTTCTGTAAGTCAGGATCTGAGCTATGACAAATGTTATGTGCTGAATGTTTGTGTCCTTCCAAAATTTGTATGTTGAAATCCTAACCCCTCCCCAGGTGATGATATTAAGAGGTGAGACCTTTGGGAGATGATTAGGTCATGAGGGGGTTATCTCATGAATGGAATTCATTCTCTTATAAAAGAGACCCCAGAGAGCTTCCTTACCTTTTCTGCCCCATAAGAGAACAGTCACCTATGAACTAGGAAGCAGACCCTTACTGGACACCAAATCTGTCAGAACTTTGACCTTAGACTTGCCAGCCTCCCAAACTGTGAAATATGTTTGCGGTTTAAGTCCCCCAGTATGTGGTATTTTTGTAATAGCAACCCGTGGCTTCTTCTCTTCATTCTGCTTTGAAAACATGAGGCACCCCTGTGGGCAGTGGATAAAAATTAAAATATAGGAAATAACTCATAACGTTTCCTTATTTCCCTGCTAAATCCATGTGCTGTCTGGAAATAATATAAAAAGTAAACTGAGAATGGGGTCATGTTTGTCTTCTGCGAATCTTTATGAGCAACAATAAGAACAGCTAATATTTCTTGAAAACTACAAATTCTTCATTTAATCCTTACAACCACCTTGGATGTTGTTATAATCCCCATCTTAGAGATGAGGAGACTGAGAAAAGCTGACTAACCCTCACCTCTCTTTTTCTGCTTATTTACCTTTTTCAAAAGCTTCCTTGTCTGTTTGGGCCTTCAGTCTTCTTTCTCCCACCCCCACCCACCATCTAAAAGTCTATCAAATCTATCACTCCTGATAAATTTTAAATGTCCAGTTGCAGTTTTAAATGTTACCTTTCCTAAGGATCTGGGAATTTCACAGAGATTAAAACAAACTAAGATAATAAAATTCTAGGTGGAATGTGCTGTTAGAGAAGGCACAAGTGTACGTGATATTATGCCAGCTATCACATGAGGCTCAGTACATTTAAGAAGGCTTCTCAAATTTATATAACTAGGTAAGTGGGATTCAGTCCTCAATCTAACTGCAAAGTCTAAATTCTTAACGACTGTATTATCCTTCCCACCATGCGCTGGGCCTTAAGCTAAGCGCTGAAGAGAGAAAGATGTATGACTTTATCCCCTCTCAGCCCTTAAGGAACTGCCATCTGGTGAGAGGAGTCAGAAAGCGAAGTCAGATATTATAATACATTGTGGTGAGGGTGAGGGTAGAGACCGCCACTGGCTACTATGAAAGGACAGAGCGGAGCACATTTCCTGGTCTTCCTGGAGAAAGTGAAAACCTTAGAAAACTTGTTCCAAAAGGAACATACTTGTGTTAAACTCATCTAGCTCCTTACTAAAACGTTTTGTGCTTGTAATGGACTAAAGAGGATGCAGCAAGTTGTCAGGACTGGATTTCGTCATGTTCACGGTGCCTACCTACACCCTGCTTCTCCCTCTCGCGCTCCTCACCCGGCCTCCCCTTCCATTCTGTCTTTCTCGTCCTCATATTATTACTAAGCCCGAGCATCACAGATTTTGTCCAACTGATCTGATGGGTTCTCAGTTCAGTTCAGTCGCTCAGTCGTGTCCGACTCTTTGTGACCCCATGGACTGCAGCACGCCAGGCCTCCCTGTCCATCACCAACTCCTAGAGTCGACTCGAACTCATGTCCATCGAGTCGGTGATGTCATCCAGCCATCTCATCCT